GGATAATATGGGGCATATTGCAGCAAACTTTCCCATGGTGCTTCATTTACAGAAAAACCACACTCATAAACTTCCCACTCTTCAGACGTCACACCACCAGATGCCTGCCCGTGGGAACCTCTAGAAGAGAGCATTTTTCTTGATCTCATACCAAGAAATTTACAGAACTTGTACCATAATGTGGTACGTGTACACAGGACAGTATTCAGAGGATGTCTGAAAACTTTAAACATGCATGCAAATTATACCTTCATTTAAGCATGCAAGTACCATTTGATGTTATGCGTGAAGTTGATTTAATGACGCAAATATATTTCGGGCTATTTTATCGACCATTGGTTCTTACTAAATATGACGTTCAGGACCAATACACCTGCTGAGATTTGAAAGGTTAGGTGGATGGACAAGGGGGGGCATGGACACAATTACTAGAGACTAAGAATAAAATTCCGAATTTGTAAGGCATGAATGGTGGGATGAATTGAGAATGAATATTTTGGAACGGACTCGGTCATGGCCGCAATGTTATTTTTCAAAATTTGCTTGGATAGACTGAGGAAAATCACTGAAACGTCACGGTAGCCAGGCTTTTTGCCGAGATTTGAATTTTGGACCTCCCGATACTAAGGAGGAAAGCTAACCACTAAAACGAAACATCCGGTCTCAAAGATTAGCAGGGAAATTTTGGAAACGTCTGGAATTAACTCCGTAAAGAAAGTGGAAAGGCATCAGATAGCAACAACGCGGTATCTAGCGCACAGAGAAGTGGGTGAACGTACAAACAAGCGCTACCCTACCTAATAAGAAGAAGAAACGAAACATTATAACGATAGCTAAAATGCGCCCCATTGAAGGACTGACTCTAGGTTACTCACCGTGTTGTAATCGTGTAATGTTTTGTACTTCAAAAATCCGGCAGTGTCTGGAGGTGTGACCATGGCCGTCTGTCTTGTTTCGTCCAACTGCACCTCAAGTGGGTACTTGTGGTACTCCACCGTGTACTGCAAACATAATATCCATGAGATGAATAATTTAAACAAAAAAAGTTTAAGGATAAATAACCTGGTGGTCTGGTATCCGAAAGATACGATATCATTTTATACGTCTAATAATGTTTGGTTGGAAGCTCCTCGGTATTGTGTTCGATTGCAGACTTTGATAATAGATTGTTAAATTTTCAGATTATGCTGACACAATATTGGTTAATTAGTTGTCTTCCTCAAAACGCTTGGAAAATTTTGTAATGGAAAGTAAGAATTTTAACTGTCTGGTTGATTTTATGAACGACTGAATTGAGAATTAATGGCATAGGCGAATCTACATGATGAAGGAAGAAAAAATAGAACGAATTTCAAAATTGTTTACCGCAAATTGGAGTTCGTCTTTTCTTTGATATTTTTAATCGCTTCCAACATGATAAAGATGCATTTACCTTGGTAACGTGAGCGGTGGCGAACGTTTCCCAGCACAAGATCACGACAGCCACCCTCACGAGATGCGCAGTGGCCATGGTAGGCATGTTCTTGGCGCGTGGTCCGCGTGCAAGTGCCCACTGTCGCAACTGAGACGTTCTGTACGCAGATGAGCTAAAGGTTCTGTAAGCCCAGCTGACCTCTTTCCCCTACTGCCGCTTCAACGGGCTGTGTAGTTTGATCTCTGAAGACACAGTTCCGTCCTAATTGTCACTTCAAATTGCTTGTGATGTGTGAATACATTTACTGTATTCGCTTCTTTAGAACAACAGTACTTCACAATTTACAGCTTTAATACAACGAGAATCTGTACTGTAGGAAATTGTACACACACACAGATCACTGAATTATATTTTATAGATCATTTTAGTATCAAGAAAACCCACTGAAAATTCTTCCCAAATTCCAAATTTGTGAAGTACCTATTACGGTATTCAAACTAGTAGGCGGGTAGTGACAACTTATCGCCCAGAGAGAGAGAGAGAAAAAAAATATATTTATTATTGAGATGTCGCCGATTCTGCCTTTTGAACTTTATTGTCTTAAAATCGATAACGCATAATTCAACATTTCGTTCTTACAACCTGACAACACCGTGTACAGATCCGCCAGTTCCAACCTCATATTTGCCCCCCCCCCAAAAAAAAAAAAAAAAAAATTGACAGGCATTTCATAGTCTTCTGTGCAGAATCTGATTCTTTGATCATTTATTTTCCATTTTTGAACACAATAAAATCCAGTAACACCAAATAGCAACATGAAACATTACTTTCACCAAGAAGTCGCACTGAGTTATGAATACCGCTGCAGAATTTGTTCAGTAGACAGTAAACCAAGTTGTCTTGACACATAGCATTTCTTGTTCTCGCACAAGTAAGACCTACCACCTTCTCGTTGGAGCCGTGTACCATTAGAAAAGTGAGCTTTGGCCACTCATCACGTGAAAAGATCAATTTTTCAGTTCTGCTGCTATTCTAAACGTTGTACTATATAGAGACACATTATTATCCAGTGTCGTATTTAGAGACAAACCACGACAGAGACATTTCCCAATGAAAGTACAGATTTGAATTAGGTTTATTTTTGTCACACACCTAACATTCTGTAGCGCATTTTACTCGTAATAATATTCATCTAAAACTATTAAGTGATTTTGGATGATGAAACATGCTTTCCATAAATTGAATCCCGTCATGCATTTTGATACAATCGTAAAAAGTTAATCGAGTTTTTGAAACTAAAGGGGCAGAAACATTGGTAAAGAAATCTTGTATCATTGAGAGTTCATTTTCTCAGCGGAAGAATCAAATGGAGTTAAGTATACCGTATAAGAACCGAACAGCACGCTTTAGAAACATTCACTGTGGA